AAAGACTTTGAGATACTGTTTGATCTATAATTTTTGCTCAAGATAATAACTAAACCATATGATTATGACTCTACAATCTTTTACCATACCGACGTTGAATGGGTGTTCGAATGCACTCTCGTACTGTTAGATCTATATTTTTTCGTTCAAGATAATAACTAATATATATGATTATGACTCCCAAGATGTGCCTACAAAACTATATATAATATCAAACAGAACAAAGCAAAAATATAATTAAGTCCTCTTCATCTTCTAAGCATGAAAGTTTTTCATTGGGATCACTTTCATATTCCAGTATATATATAACGGCCAGAGTGAAGTATATATACATTTGACTAGAGCCCAGAGTAGTACCTGGGCGCGAAAACGGCCCTCTTCCCCCACGTCTCATCGAACACAGAGGTTTCATTCAGTCAGATTTCGTATCGGCACCTGATAATTTCCAGCTTCAAACCGAGAAAAATAAAGCCCAAATTAAATATCCTAATTAAACAGATGCCCAATCACAGCTAAAATATACAAACGGATAAAAAAAAAAAAAAAATCTGAATAAACTAAATTCCGATGCCATTAACAAGTATCATAGTAACAGTAAACAGCTTATGTGAACGAAAATCACGCAAATATCAATATAAACAATAAAAAAAAAAAGGTGAGCAACCGATTTATGGGCCCATTTGCAGAAAAAATCAGATGCAGAGAAGATATTATACCTGAGCTGAACATTTGCGAACGAGGAATCGAAACAATAGAGGCAAGCTCAGACCTTACGCTTATACTAAAAAATTAAGGTGAGCTCTGTCTTGTAAATAAATCAGGCTTTGTATTTTTCGTGATCTTGAGTGTGTTACTTTTTGTTTTGTTGATAGACACTACTGTTAACTATATTTGAAGTCAGGTTAAGATTTAAGAACATTGTTTTAGATACCATATCGTACCGGATGATAATATTATAAAATAAAGGTCATTGGTATGGTATAATTACATTTAAAATACCGGATTTACGGTTATCCCGATTTGTACCGGGTATTATTTATTATTTATGGAGCTCGACTATATTTCCATAAATATAAAGTTTCTAAATTTGATGCATTATATTTATTTGTATTAAATTAGATAATTAGTATTGAAGTCTAAGCCATAGAGAATTTATTCGATTTTAATTATTAAAGTCATATTTATCTAGCTCAAGTATCAGTTATATTTTTAAAATCAAGCCTTGGAGTAATCGGAATTTTATATAAGCGAATCGAAACCGGATAATTTGATTATTCGAGTCCCATTAATTTTGAGCGAATTCAATAATTTTAGCCGGCCTATTTTTAATTTCAAATAGTCGAATTAATTATTAAGCCCAAGCGATATTTTAAATATCGAGACCTCGTAGTATTTTAATTCTGAGCCCAATATTTAATTTCGGCCCAAGTCGAAAAGTAAAAACCGCAAAATACAGGTCCAAAATACCGACGAATAAAAACAATAAAAAATTAATATTTTTTAATTTTAAAAATAAAATTTAAATTGGTAGTTAATTTTTTTTTTCTCATTCGAGAAGTTAAAATTAATGATTATAGTCATTTATTTTGTTTACTTTTTGGCATTTAGTATTATATATTTATATGTATATTTATATATATCATTATATTTGGTATTACCGCTCCGACCGGAATACCGCGTACCGGTTGGTAGACTGGTATGACCACTACGGTATTTAAAACACAGCTTAAGAGTAAGCTTTTCTAGTAATAATGCAGGTCGAGTTCTCATTTAGTAAGGGCCCCCTAACCATTATATATGCTACCATTGTCTTGGTATGTACGGTGTTCTTGATATTTCTTTCCTCTAGTGAATGGTCGACACCATTAATCTATCAGAATTCAGAAGTCAGGTTAAGACCTAACTCCATCTGAAACCGAGGTAAGACCAAGCTTTGGTGATAATAATGCACAGTTACGACCTGACGTCAATTTAACATCGAGGCTTGGTGGCAATAACCGTTAAAAATCGAATTAAGAATCGACTCTATTTGAAGCCGAGTTAAGACTGAGTTGTGGTTATAAGAATGCACATGCCGCATTCTTGCTCGTCTGCTCACTTTGGTTATAACAGTTATTGATTAACTTGATTTACCTCTATAAACCGAAATTGTGCTATGGTTTTGTTTTCCTTTACTAAAGATGTATTTTCTCAATGCTAAGTCGTTCGTCTTAACTCAATTTCCGTTCTAACAATGTGATTAACCGATTATATTACTTCTGACATTTTATGTGAAATATATTTATATTTGTAGTTAGAATAAAAATTGATCCAAAAGTATCGGGCTGCAGAGTTAGTTTCCAACTCTTCTCACAGATAAAAGAAGATTAATGATTTTGAGTCGCAACAGTTCATAGCAAATAAGAAATCTCAAGAAAAAATAGGACAAATCCACACTAAAAAATATAGCAAATTACAACAAAACAAGATTACACAAGAATAAATAATATCCAAAGCAATAACGAAGTAGTTTCAAATTCTCAATACCACAAAGCATCCCCAGCTTCAAATAAACACAGCAAAAGCATCCCATTAGCATAAGCATCTGATTAACATATCCACTGCTTATTTCCCACACATTGAAAGATAATATTGCAGTCCAACCGCAAACGACTCGCGAAAACAAACTAGACACTATAGGCTATAGTTTAATCATATTTAAGTTTTGAGTAAAACGGTAAGCGAACATTGACCATTAAGTAGCCTTAGTAAGCAAGCATTGTTATGCCTTCCACGGTTTCCCTTTGAGTAAAGCTCATTCGCTCCTGCACACACAAGTAAAGAAAAAGAAACACATATCTTCAACCTCACAAGCACCCACCTTAAGGTATAACAAAATCCAACTTATGTTTTGCATTTTTTTAATAACATATTGAGGTCTAGCAGTAAGAAAATAGAAACACATATCACGAGAAAACTTTTTAATTTCAAAATATAACCAATATTTTGAAATTTAAAGTCCAGAATCCAAACTCAATAGCGTGGCCATTGTTTCAAGAAGTTTTGATCCACACCTTTGAAAAGTCATGCACACAATAGTATATGGCCAAATTGCAACTTGCAATAGTATATGGCCAAATTGATATAGGCTTAATGACAATAAACATTGACTTGAGAGTCAAGGT